CTACACAAATAACTCTTAAAATATAAATCTTGTGTTAATTAGGTCAGAGCCTCTAAACTAATTTTCGTGTTAATTGAATCCCTAAACTCTAAAATTTTAGTAATTAAGTCCTTCAGTCAGTAGCCATTAAGTTTTTGGCCAAAATGGCTCTCATGCTTACCACATGAACAACAGATTAGGAGTATTTTAGACTGTCCATTCGAAACTTATCAAACAAAAAACCCTATTCTTTGTAACCATCAACCAAAACCCCTTGCATACCCGCCAAACAAAGTAGGCTTGTTAANTATTCTTTGTAACCATCAACCAAAACCCCTTGCATACCCGCCAAACAAAGTAGGCCAGCAAGCTCTTCGATCTGGTGTTGAAAAGAGATTACATAAATGTAGGTTCTTCGAATAGCTTGTTAATTTGCTTTGTTTGACGGATATAAAAAAGGTTTAGGTTTAAGATTTCAGTTGATGGGTATAAAGGATGAGGTTCTTTATCCGATAAATTTTGAATGAACAATCTAAAATACCTCTAATCCATTGTCCACGTGATGAGCACGTGAGACATTCCATTCAAAAATCTAACGAATGCTAACAGAATGACTTAATTGTTAAAATTTTAGAGTTTAAGAGTTCAATTGATACAAAAAAATTAGTCCATGGACTTAATTGTTACTCAATTAATACAAAAATTGGTTCAGAGTTAATTGACACAAGATTCATAGTTGAATGACTATTTGTGTAGTTTACCCTAACNTTAGTCCATGGACTTAATTGTTAAAATTTTAGAGTCTAGTGGCTCAATTAATACAAAAATTGTTTCAGAGTTAATTGACACAAGATTCATAGTTGAATGACTATTTGTGTAGTTTACCCTAACCATTAATACTACTTAAGAAACATGAAAGAAAGAGCACAAAACCTTTGATGAGGTGAGGCATCCAACTGAGTACAAAAGGCATCAACAGCTTCAACAGAGGCCGTGTCGTAAAGACCCAACGCCTCATAAAGAGGATTGATCTTGGTAGGTGCCATATACCCACTTCCTGCAATAACATCTCCATTTCGCTGCTTAATTTCCATGGGAAGGTCGAGCAGTGACCTCACCACCGCCTTCATCTCCCCCATTAGCAGTTCCGTGAGAATCGCACCGTGGTTTACGATCCTAAAACAACCCCATTCTTGACATGCATAGACCAGCTTCGATGACTGTTGTGGAAAGTCTTGAAGATCAATCACTGGTATGACATTATTGCTTGAGGCCATTTGGGTTTTGTTTGGTTTTTGAATCTTTAGGCTCTCTTAGGCTTTGGAAGTTGTAGAGGAATGGTGATGGAGTGGGAGAGTCACTATTTTTTGTCGTTGCCAAGTCGTGTGGGTAATTCCAAAGGCTTGTGTCCACTGAATATGGGGATGCATCGTATGTTTTGCCAGTTTTGAGGAGACAGCTTTATAAAGTATGAAGAAAACTTTGCATTTGTCTGGTGCCTCGTGGTGGGTTGCTACCGAGAGCAGACAATTTGACTTGTACATGATTTTATGTCGGAAAATGCAACAAAAGGATACGACAATGGATAACAGATGTGTCGTTTCACGTTTTAATCGTGTTAATTTGGGTTTACGTCCAAAATTAGTTAATTTTAACTCAATTCATTTATNGTAAAGTATGAAGAAAACTTTGCATTTGTCTGGTGCCTTGTGGTGGTTTGCTACCGAGAGCAGACAATTTGACTTGTACATGATTTTATGTCGCAAAATGCAACAAAAGGATACGACAATGGATAACAGATGTGTCGTTTCACGTTTTAATCGTGTTAATTTGGGTTTACGTCCAAAATTAGTTAATTTTAACTCAATTCATTTATCTAATTGTATAATTTGTTTAAGTATTAACCCGGCTTGACTTGTACAAATTGAAACAGGTAATTCTGAATCAAAAATCTAAAACAAAACTTTTATTATATTTAAACTAAACTCATACTTTAGTGTTTTCATAAACTTTTTTTTTTGGGTCAGGATGTTTTCATTAACTAAAAATTCAATAAATATATATAATAGTAAAAATAGATTTTAAAAAAATAACTAATAAAATGTGTTAATCTCATTAATTTTGAGTTATTCGTATTCGATTCAAATTGGATATGTTTATTAATTATATTAGTAGTGTGTGTCATTTTGAGGTTCATGTCGACAAATATTCAAGTAAATTTCACTAGTTTCATGTCAAATATGAGTCGTGTTGTCGTCTATTGTCAAAAATTAACACCCCTACAATACCAAAGAATTTCGTTATCATACCTCTTTTTTTCGCCCAATAAAAATATAATGCGTCTAAGATTTCGTTGCCATAGTCTCGTTGGAGTAAAAAACATACAAAATTTGCATATGCTATTTTATTTTGGGATTATCACCAGTTTTCAGATTGATCTCAAATTGACTCTCTGGAATATGTTAGTTTATCTGAATTGAATCTTGACTCAATTTGTTCATTAACTTTTGGTCCAATGCTACAAAATTGTTTCTTCCTACCATAAAAGTTCTTCCATTTGAGGCATTGGTAATATGATTTGCGTTCAATTCTAAAAAGCTGGAAGTGATCATCTCATTAGGTTCTCACCAGTAGAATTATAAAATTTTTAATCACACCTGAAATACTTCTTGGAATCATATCTATCTAAGCTAACATTGTAATCAATTACCGAACCTTAATAAAAACTCTAAAACTCAAACTCTCAACATCTAAATGAGAAATAAGGTCGATACCACCACTAGACCACGTAAGACTTTGAAATCATGTTAGCATGCCAGTTTTTCTCCATGGGTTGCATATGTCACGCCACATAAGAAATAAGCATTCGTAGGGACCGTTTGGTTCACCGGATTGGAGTAGGAATGGGTAAAATAAAAATAAATTTGATGCCTTATATTTTTCTTGTTTGGCAATGTATTTTTTTATTTTTTTTTCAGACAATGTTATGAATTCAAAGTCACAATCAAATAACCCCATATAGGTACATGGAATTATTTGGAACTCACTTGGAATAGGGGTGCAATTCGGGCGGTTTGGACGATTTGGACGGTCAACCCTAGTCCAACTTTAAGTATATAATCTTCAACCTTAACCCTAACTCTAACCCTACCTCGGGTTAAGGAACTCAACCCGAGCACTACTCGAGTTTAATTCGAATAAGCTCGAGTTGAATTCAGGTTAATGATTTCGAGTTGAATTTGAGTTACTTTATGGGCTGATTTCGGGTTACTTCAATCAAGTTTTTAACATAAAAATNTAAGCTCGAGTTGAATTCAGGTTAATGATTTCGAGTTGAATTTGAGTTACTTTATGGGCTGATTTCGGGTTACTTCAATCAAGTTTTTAACATAAAAATCATAATATTAAGAACTCAATATTTTAGATAATGCAACCACAATCATACAAAACATAAATAAACACAACCAGAATCCTTGCACAAACATAGAGTTCATTGCTTAAACAAAATCCTTGCACAACCAGAATCCTTGAGAGAGACTAAGAGTGAGTGAGGATCTGAGAGAGACACAAACTTGAGTTGAGATTAGCCTTAGGATAAAATTATATTTATATAGTATTAATTCGAGTTGAGCTCGATTTGAACCCGATAGCTTTAACCCTATGCCCGTCCAAATTGAATTTGGATTGAGGTTTTTTGATTCAAGTCCAACTCAAGTATTAAATACCCTAGCCCAAGCCCTAATTTTTTTTGGGTTAAAATCGGATTAGCCCGTCCAAGTTACACCCCTAACTTGGGGTAGTATTCAATTCGGTGAATTAAAATCAAAATTAGTGATATATTTTTGCATCAAATTATTCACTTCATTGAATGAAGAACAATATTANGTATTCAATTCGGTGAATTAAAATCAAAATTAGTGATATATTTTTGCATCAAATTATTCACTTCATTGAATGAAGAACAATATTATTGACATATGATTTGATGTTACGTCGTGAACCTAACATGTTATTTTTTATTCTTATCCAATCATTATCAAACATGTGATAGAGTAAAGATAAATCTAATGCATGGATTAATAACAAGATCAAAAGGGGGCGAGGGAGCTATGCTGGTATAATTGACACATATCATGGCTCGAAGTCAATATACATGTTTACTTTGTTTTTCCCTGTAACTTTGCAATAAATGGGTCAATCTATTTCTACCTACTATTGGTCTTAGAAGGTTTTTTTTTGGTATTGTACCAAATCAATTTAAACACACTTTGAATAATCTCTTTTATGATCCGATCAAAGAAATGTCATGCCTCCAAAGAAATTATCAAAATTTGAATTTAAAATGTCCAATTTACAGGTCATTCCATCTCCACTTGCCTATCCCTTGGGTTCTTAAGAGAAGTTTTGAAATAATGTGTGTCTAACACAATTTTTTAAATACAGTATGTCAGAGAAACAAAAAAAGAAAACCACCNGAGAAGTTTTGAAATAATGTGTCAAACACAATTTTTTAAATACAGTATGTCAGAGAAACAAAAAAAGAAAACCACCCCCAANAGAGAAGTTTTGAAATAATGTGTGTCTAACACAATTTTTTAAATACAGTATGTCAGAGAAACAAAAAAAGAAAACCACCCCCAATAACATACCCAATTGACCTGTAGGATTGCTTGGAGCGATTACTATATGAGCTCTACAACTTCTAACAAAAATTGGGAAAATAAAAATAAAAATAATGGTCATCCCACATTTTGAATATGAATCAATAAAAAACCGTATCCAAAATATACAAATTATCACTATACAACATCGGTGAAATCTTCTACACTGAATTAAGCCCTATATTTTCAACAAAATTTTCATACAAGTTAATAAACCCTAGTGCAATATGCTGCCATCTAATCATAGGAAATGTTGACAAAGCCTTCTTGGATCACCCTGACCTCAAATATTAGAATAACAATCAGCCAGAACGTTGTCAATTTCAACCATGTCTTTCCTCAAGTCAGAAGCTATAAACACTACATAGAATGTCGACCATCAGTCTTATCTCTGGGGTGTACACGTTCTTCTTCAATTTCTTCTAAATCTTCATCATCACCCCTTCTACCTGCCTGCTCCTTCCAATACGCCACCAGCTTCTTCATGCGAGCCACTTCCTTTGATGAAACATTTTTGGTAGGATCATTTGCAATAGACCGGACCCTTGATGCATATCTGTAGCACATTCAAACCAATATTGTAAGACAATTACAAGACAATGGCATCTTGCTCTATAGTGTTAAAGGAATTACAAATCTGAAGATCAATAATTAATACTGTCTTCAGTGGAGACTACTAAAGTTTATTTTATTAATGATAACTCAATAATTTATGGTATCATTTTACAAAACAAATTACTGAATCCTGATAAGCACTCCCATAAGGCATATCCTCTTTCATGAACATAGGCATAACTATGAACAGTAAAACAGTTTAAAAAAATTAATAACATAACTGTGCATGATAAGATAGATTAGCTTACGTGAGAGAATTGTAAGTCTCGTCCAAATTTGACTCAGCAGGAGATGTGTTCACAAACATTAGAGTCTTAGCATTACCACCAAGTGAATCACTCATTAACATTGTTAACTTGTGATTCCTATAGGGAATGTGCTGACTGCCTGAAGACAAAGCACTGATAACATCCCCAAGGGCTGAAAGTGATTTATTGATACTTTGAGCTTCCTTGAGCTGACTACCTGAAGAACCAGATTTTTTTATCCTTTCTGATCCAGCAAGATCCACAAAACTTAACTGCACAACAAGAAGTTAAAATATAAAATAGTCATAATGAGAAGGATAAACATGAGAAATGGAAATAAATAACGTAACAAACAAGAGTCTTGTATCTTTACATGACCTAGTTTAACAATATAATGCGCACAGTATTTTTTTTTAAAAAATTTTAAAATTTTTGGGGTTGGAGGCGTATCTTTTTAATTCATGACCAAGACAGGAAACTAGTAATCTACATCCCATAGTCCAAAAAGAAAATGGAAAAACAAAATGTATGTCCATAAGCAATAGCTCNAAAAAAATTTTAAAATTTTTGGGGTTGGAGGCGTATCTTTTTAATTCATGACCAAGACAGGAAACTAGTAATCTACGTCCCATAGTCCAAAAAGAAAATGGAAAAACAAAATGTATGTCCATAAGCAATAGCTCTCCAATTAAGACAATGGGCATGTCAATAATGAGGTATAATACAATATGCAATTCTGGCAGTACCTTCCCTCTGGCAACAGCTTGGGTTTGAAGGTTGGTACTCTCAATAATAATTGAAAGTATCAAATGAGATCTTGAACTCTCTTCATTCATTAAAGTACCCGTTGTATGACGCTGTTCAGATCCTTTCTGAATAATGCTTTTGAGTTCCTCATATGTCGAAATTGATACAACTGTTACATTTTCAATAGATACCATGCCCTATACATTCAAACATTATCAATTTTTATAGGCGATTGCTAAAAAGGAAAAAGGGTCCTTATAACTTACAAAAAATAAACAAAGTTTAACATAATATATCATATGAAAATAAATAAGATACGACATCAAACACAATATATATCATTACCTTTGAGTCTTTTTTAATATCTAATTTTGTACGCTTTGCTTGCTTCGGTAGTAACAAATCAACCAAAGTGTCCTGATATAACTCCACCACATAGGCCTACATGGTTCACAATTGATGATAAGTCATTGATATAAAAAAACACTACTTGTAGCATGTACAATTTATTTGTAATAATATGCCAAAGAAAAGTAATAACCGTCATTATATTCTCAATACCACAATGTTTGATAACTAGGGAGAACTTCAATTGGTGATCAGAAATTTATGACACGATATTAATAAGTGCAGCAATTCTTGAAAGAATTAAAATAAAGGAACTCACTGAATAAAAAATTGTGGTGTTTGACAATTGCAAGCTACTATTAACATTCACCATAGTTACCTTCAAGGAGAATGAGAATTTTTTACTGTCTCGCTTTTGAATTTTAAAAAGTTCAAAAGTAGCCCGTAAGGTGAGTCCAGGATCATTATCAGAACCATAGATAGTAAAAGTCTTCCCAGAACCGGTTTGTCCATACGCAAATATGCAGACATTATACCCATCTATAGCAGATTGCACCAAATACTGCATCAGTGAGAGCAAAAAAACATGAGAAACAACTATCAAATGAAACTGATAAAACCCTAGATATATTAGGGTCTACGAAAAGGATTACATATGGTTAGCTAATAGCGCAAATGCTTGATTTAAGTGATTATTCAAGAGTTTAGTGAACTTGCCTTTGTATCCTCAAAGACATCTTCTTGAGTAGCGTTACCATCATAAACACGATCGTACATGTGTTGCTTTATTTTATCATCTCTCCATGTATGTTCAACTGTGAACTCATCAACACTTGTAAGCACATTTCTTTCCCTCCCCGCAATCTCCTTTTCACTCAAAGGCCTTAATCGACAGAAGACTCTAATCTTGCCTTTCATATCTGAGATGCATATGAGACCCAACAAAGAGTTGTTATTGTTCATAGATTCTGGTAGACAACAATAAATAAGAACAAAGTTGTTAAGGACGCTCACCTTGGCACCAGAGTAACCCAAATCGCCTATGAGAGCCCCATTTGGCAATTGGAAAGCTGGGAAGGCAGCTTAGCCAATTGGGCCCCCGCCTAGATGAGTAGGTACCGCCCATACATGATTGGACCTCAACGCATAATATATTGTCAAATTGCCTTAGATTGATCCATGTGCGCTAGATTAAATTATACTAAATAAGCAGCCCAGTCCACACAGTTGCGGAGATTTATGCAGCCTTGCCCCGCATGCGGAGAAGCTATTTTCACAACTTGAATACTNACTAGATTAAATTATACTAAATAAGCAGCCCAGTCCACACAGTTGCTGAGATTTATGCAGCCTTGCCCCGCATGCGGAGAAGCTATTTTCACAACTTGAATACTTGGAGCTCAAGTCAAACTAGAGCAACCTTACTATTTCGCCAAGGTGTACCCTCACCAGATTAAATTATACTAAATTGTTAATCCCAGTAAACTAGATGCTCTGAGTCCTACAACAAGCGATTTAAATTTCTTTTTTTTTTTCCCTTAACATGCTTCAATCAAATGTTGTTAAAATCCCATTGCTCATCCGTACCTTTCTTATTCATATACAAATACTAAAATGTTCAAGGACCTTTATATTAATTTCCAGCCATTTACAAAGTCATCATTAAACATCCACAACTTCGAAGTGGAAGACTACTAAAGCATCTCATTCAAAAAAAAATGGCAGCAAGTGAAAAGGCTCATAAAACTTGTATACTAGTCCAAGATGTATTGTTTTACCGATGTGAGACAAGCTCTAACACTCCATACATGTGTGAGTATCTCATCAACATTGGACAACCTTTAACAAAGTCCACTTTTTTAATGAAAAACTGAGAAGCAAATATTCAGTGAAACTNAACACTCCATACATGTGTGAGTATCTCATCAACATTGGACAAACTTTAACAAAGTCCACTTTTTTAATGAAAAACTGAGAAGCAAATATTCAGTGAAACTCAATTGGAAGGAAATATTCTTTTCGTGACATTTTAATTGAAATCATATTGAGATCTTATCTTGGTTCTACAAGTGGTCTCGTTTGATCCATAAAATTGGTTGTTTTTGATATCCTCACTATTCACAGGTAAAATAAAATTAAACTTCCAGAAAGTTCTTATGGAATTAAATGGTCTTGCTTTGAGTAGTATGACAATGTGAGTTGGTGTCTGTTGCGGTTTAGAACTTAAGTTCCTTCCAGTTTGTTGCTGGTTAAATTGTCAAGGTGAAGCCTAAAGTTTAAATAAAATGTCGCTTGTATACAGTTAAGTGGTTATGATATTTATTGTATAGAGATCAATAGTACTCTTTATGCGTTCTCATATTTAAATGTAAGCTAATTGACACTAATTTTTACCAATATTACCACTTGATCGAAGTGAAGTGATTGAAACTGTATGATTTGATTAAATTTCATGCTAAGCTTAGCAGGTAAGCCATATCCAACACCTATGATTTTGAAAATAATAATAGTTCAATGTACAAGGAAAAGGAAGTGATCTCTACCTTCTATCATGTTGAAATACCGTTTTCTCAAGACTTGTTCTTCCTTGTAAAGTGCTTCTAACTCGGCCAATTGAGCTCCTTGCATCTTTAAGATTGCAGCAGTCTGCTCGTTCTTTCTATCAATATCCTAAAAGCCAGAACTTAGTAGTAAGAATAACTTCTCAGTTATAATGCAAGAAGATAGAGACTATAAAATCCATCCATTAATGGTAAAAGAAATGGAGAATTTGGTATCGCTGACCACCTCTTTCATTTCTCTCAACTCCTCCAATTCCTTTAGATTATTTTCCAATGCGCACAACTCTGTATCTTTAACTGCAAGAGTGGACTCTGCTACAGCCAAGCTTTTTGTGACTTCTTCCAATTTCTTTTCAAGTTCAGAAACTCGAAGACTCAAGGCCTTCCGTTCTTGTTCAAAGTTCTTCTCAAGAGTCCTTGTCTTCATTTTAACAGCCAAAAGAGATGAATACCTTCACCATATGAATGGACACATAAAGTCATGGAATTCAATCAAAAAAATAACATTATTACCTCATCAACTTTCTTCTTCTCAAGCCTTGAAATTTTCTCTTCCAATAATCGGTTTTCATTAACCAGCAGCTTCTTACTTTCTTCTGCTGCATGTAACTCTACAGAGCGTACTTTTAATTCATCTTCGATCTTATGTAACACCTATAAACATCATTAATAGCTTAAACAAACCAACTCAAAGAAATGACTAATGTCTATCATATAAAGACAAAAGTTAAACACATGCAAAAGATTTGAAAAGAGATTACCATAGTGAATTGTACCAAAGATTTTTCAAACAACTTCAGGTCAATATTAAATTTACATATCAAAATTTTGAGCTGACATTAGAATTGAAATATAGTTTCATACAAGGTACCTGGGTGTTTGCTTCAGCGAGCTCCTTTTTGATACTGTTCTCCAGCCCTTGATTACTTAGCTTAGCCAGCTTGAATTCCATGCTCCGCTTCTCCAACAATGCAGCCTATGCATACCCAATTTAGGAAAATAAAATGAAGAAACTGATCTGAACCTGATTTCATAAACACAACCATACTTGCCTGAAGCTCTGAATCTTTTTCCTCACACAAAGATCTGAGATTATCACGATCACAAGTAACGTCAGCTAAGTTTTGCATTTCAGATCTCAAGGTATCTTTCATGCTCTCTAGTTCTTCTTTTATGTTGACTTCTTCCTTTTGTTTTTCATGTAAATTTTCGACTACCTGTATGAGCATAACCAGATTAGTAAAAAGTTATATGCAANTTTATCACGATCACAAGTAACGTCAGCTAAGTTTTGCATTTCAGATCTCAAGTTATCTTTCATGCCCTCTAGTTCTTCTTTTATGTTGACTTCTTCCTTTTGTTTTTCATGTAAATTTTCGACTACCTGTATGAGCATAACCAGATTAGTAAAAAGTTATATGCAATTTCCATATAAGGGGCACAAACAACTAATCATTTTTTGCCAATAGTGTGGCAGTTTTCTTCCCCATATATAATATAATAACCACGAGAACTCACCCAAAAGGGTTAACTAAGGAGTTGTCATTTGGGGTTATCATTCCTACATATATACCCAAGGTCTCCCAGACAAATTTTCAATGTGAGATTCAGCAGATACACAGACTGTCACAATCTCCCCTCATTTGTTCCCATAATCAAACACAAATACCACAAACAGCTCATGGTCGACCCTTGTCTCAACACTAGTCCTGCAGTGCAATGCCCCCAAACCCATACAATTGTGTTCACGGGGCAACTCTACTACCATATTGTAGTAACTACGAGAACTCACCTAAATGAACTAACNTGTCTCCCAGACAAATTTTCAATGTGAGATTCAGCAGATACACAGACTGTCACAATCTCCCCTCGTTTGTTCCCATAATCAAACACAAATACCACAAACAGCTCATGGTCGACCCTTGTCTCAACACTAATCCTGCAGTGCAATGCCCCCAAACCCATACAATTGTGTTCATGGGGCAACTCTACTACCATATTGTAGTAACTACGAGAACTCACCTAAATGAACTAACCAAGGAGTTGTCATGTGGGTTCATTGTTCCTATATATACCCAAGATCCCGTACAAACTTCTGATGTGAGATTCAATACACACCAATGCTTAATTAAGGATAAGAGATCACCAAACGAAAATCAACCTAGACACAACAAAACAAAATTATTGTTCACATATGTAAAGAGACAATAGATCCTTTTAAAAAGAAAAAAAAGGAAAAAGCAAATTGAATATTACCTAAAAGCCTTTGACACCAACTTTCTCAACCAACAAGAACCAAGGGATAAAGCACATCCAAATTATACACGTTGAAAAAAACACATATGCCCTTCTGAATCCAAATAGACCCCTCCCCCACCCCAACCCCAATAAGTAAATTGTACATAGGGGAATCAACATTTCAAGAAATTCTCATTCATCTCACCATCAAGTCTCTTTTGTTTGTAGACAGATAAAAGCTTAGCATAAAAAGAAAAAAAATAGGAAATAAGCATGTTCAATAGTCTGAGTTACTCACTTGAGCAGCATTCTTTTGCGATTCTTCAAGAACTTTGGACAATTCTTGGATACGTTTCTCATAAAAATCCACATTGGATGGCTTAACATTATTAGAAAGATCTCCATTAATTGAGCTATTGGCAGTAGCAGGCCGTGCTTTAGAGTAGCGGCGTAACATAACATCATTTATGTGTGTTTGAAGGGCAACACAAATTTCCTCGCCCTATATGTAATGGACAGATTAATACAGTATGACAAACAACCAAAACAAGCCAAAATTCCAATCAATAATACAATCAAGAGATGCTCACAACCTGCTTAGTTTCAAACTGAAAGATATGTAAGACGCCGGCAACTCTCATCTTAAAAAATACAGCAGTATTACTGCTACCAAATTGCATTATGTCCCTTAACTCAGCAGAGTGTAGGTATTCTTTAGGAACTGGTCGAAAAAAATGAACCTACAAACAAATGAGCAACAATATTCACAACTAGGATCATTGAAGTAACGAAATCTTTAGTGAATGTACACCAGTCAATAATCTACAACTTACCCCACGCTTATTAATGCCCAAAATGATCTTTCCGGGCAGAAGTCCAATGGGATCATCTATTTTGCGAACACTAAAGAAAACTGAATTCCCATAGGGAAGTGTCCTCAAGATCCGTAGAAATTGCTGTCTTGCATCATCTTTCGTTAGATTTTCCTGCACCGTCGACATAAGTATCTTAAGGGAGAACATAAACTTTTAAAATATATTGCCCATAGCAAAAAGAATGAAGGCAATCAACAGAATCTGAGAGTCAAATACTCCTCCAACCAAAAACATAAAATGAAACAAATGAAGACAATCAGATATATCTTTAGAATGTCATACTCCATTCAGAAGAAACTTTTACTCCTCAAAACACAAAAAAGGTTTTTGTTTCTGTAGATAAAATAAGAACATAAATTCCCAAATTCTAAAAAGGAAAGAGCAAAAAAAAAATCCAATTAACACGCAAACAGAACCAAAAGGAGGACAGGATAGAAAAACAGAAAGAAGGTTTGCACAATTTTCTTCAAATATTATTTGTTGAACATGAAATTTCAAGTTATTTTTCTTACCATTGAACGATAACGAAAAATAATATCCATCTCCCATTCCCTCTTTGCTCGAGTAATTGCAATTTGTCGGGGTAGAGATCGCTCCAGAAGTGATGTCCAGTCCCTGAAAAAAGCTAAAACTTATGACTAAACAATTACCAACAGGAACAACAGATCGAGATGCAAAGTTAAAATGTAAATGGCTTTTTATACCAGAACAAAAACATGTCAAACATGATACAGAATACGGGGCTTCCACAAGAGTAACAAGCAGAATTGAAAAAACTACAATAAAACAAGATAAGTACAACAATGATAAGAAAGTGAAGAAAACTACTGACGTGGATGATTCAGGGACAACATCATATCCAATCTCAACAAAGATTTGCAATGCAGAAAGCTGTGCAGCATCATCCCTTCCAACAGGATAATTACCCAAGATATAATCATGTTGCAGCTGTGAACACCATATATAGAAGTAAGAAATTAATTGAAATTGAGAAGTTAATTAATAAATGTCAACTATAGGTTAATATGACTACAATCTAATTCATAGCGAGACTACACACTTGAACATAGGATAACTGCACAAACATTGGATCTGCCACCGCTTCATCTGACTCCCGAAATAACTTCTTTTTAAATATCAGTTTGCAGTGCAAAATTTCTCCTTTACTGCGGTCCTTTGCTGCCTTAAACTCAGCCAGTAAATCCCCAATGTATTTGTTATCATCTAGCCCAATGTGCTCCTCTACATGACATTAAATCAAAGTGCACGATATTAAACTACAATGTTAAGGAAGTTTTACCATAAAACAGAAAAAAGAGGATGTGAAATGCATACCATTTCCAGGATCTGGTGATTTAGACCCAGTAACAACCTTACGGCACTCAAACAAACTAAAGCTAGAATATGCTGCCAATTTAATTATCCCCGCAAGCTCCTGAAGTTGGTGACACATTAAGAAATATTGTATAAATTGCCAAAATGAACACATAATGTAAGTGAAAAAATGCAAGCAACAAAAGAGAACAGCAGAGATATCTTCTATAATTTTCACACCGAGAGTGACAACTTTCTCAGCATATCCACAATGCATATGAAAGCGAACAAATCTGCATGTAGTGACCTAACAAAAATTGAATCCCAAGCATATAATGTACAACTATGTCAAATGATTTCCAGACATCTTAGAAAATGAAATTCAACCATCATGGCGTAAATAGACTTCAATGAACTTACTATTGAAACACGCAATTATTGTACCAACAAAGGAGCCTTACAAATTTATAGGCACGTTAGAGAAGCAACAAAAGTTTGTAAAAAGATATTCAAGGACAGAAAAAAGTTAATCAGACATAATAACCACAAAATCTGTGTTCACTACACCATAACAAATTTGTAAGTCAATGGCTTCCTAGTACCACTTAGGTAATTAAACAACAAAATGCATCACATTAGAAATAGAAGCAAAAGGGTACAAGCAAAGGTAATTTACCAAAACACTTTAGCAAAACATGTAGAGCAACTATATGTAGCCAGTTTGGCCAAGTAAACTTTGTGCTCTCAACTCCTTCAGACCTAACATTCCCCAGATTTTCATCCTTAATTATGCATTGCGCTCACAAGATTTGCAATCAAGACTTAAACCAATATTTTCCACTTGCGTACATCCACGAGAGAATGGTTAAAGCACATTATCTTTCAAGTAAAGCTATTAAAGGAATCAGGTATGCTCCCATTCTTCTCCAGGAGAATCAAGAAAAAATGGCTTTCTGCACATTAACCAGCCAAAACATGGCTGAAACCTCTCACTTTGCCAAAAGATCATGCAAAATATGCTTTGAGGCACAAAATATGATGACTGTGGATCGGACCAACTGCCATCGATAATCATTGAATTAGTTTACACACGCACACACCGAGTAACTCCAATCCAGTGACCATTACATACTAAGGTAGTGAAAAGTTTTCGGATCCAGTAAAATTTCATGGATAATTCCCAAGTTATAAGATAGATTATGCCTCAAAAATCTCGTCAACCCAGTAGGTTTTCCTTCAACAGATTAAAAGAACCTTGTTATGGAGCATAACCAGCCTAAGGGATAGGCTTGAATGAATTCTGCTATTCTTGATCAATAAACAACTAGCACCAGGTGAACGTACCATGTAATTGCTCCTGAGGTCCAGCGAACTTCCATGTGCTATTTCAGGCAATTCAAAGGAGATATGCAACCAATATCAATGCAGCTTTCATTATAATAGTTCAGCAGGGTAGCAAATGCACTAGATTATCACTTACTGTTTGTTTGGTCCACCACAAATCTTTTGCTCCGCAAACCTCATAAAAGTCTACAAACATACTTGTTTGCCCTTACAGAGTAGACATATTCTATTTCACTTAACTTCTTCCCTTAATATATAGATATATGCATGGATAAACGCAGACAAGTTTTGGTACTACCTCGACTGCATCAACTACAGTTGTTGACATGTCATACGTGATTTCTTCAAAAGTTTCATCCAAGAAAAACACTATAGTTGTAAGCTTTCTGCCAGTCAAAAGAGCTGCAATCTCCTCACGGCCAGGTATCGTATGCCTAGGTCCAGCCTTAACAGAACGCTTCAGAGCATTTAAAGTGTTTAGTGCTAGGACTTGGACTTCAGAATCCGAAATCACACCATGTGCCACAGTATGGACATACTCTGATAAATATCCACCAATTTCCTTGCTGGGAGGCATGCAGGAGGCACATAAATACATTAGCTCCCACGCTTTGATCAAATATTGCCTGAAACATATGAAGCAACAAGAAGAACATGCATTAGCAATTAAGTAAATGAATGATAGAGAAAAGCACATTGAGGAAAAGGTACAGCAGTAACTGCACCCACAGCATGAGCAAAAGGAACATATAAATACCTATCAGGATTATTCCTTGTTTGTTTGGATATTTGTGCAAAAAGTTCATCCCGGAGCTCGGAACGCTTCAGGGCCTGCTTATATAGTTTACTGACAAGCTCAATACGTTCCTCCAAGCTAGTTGGGGTCACTCGATCAAAGGAATCAATTCCCATGTACTTCAAGATGACCTGAAACAATTTTACTGCCCGGCTTACTAGGTCATTGTTTATTTTCAACAGTGAAGTTGGTATAGGTTCCTGTAAAAGATTGCAACTTAATCTTCATCACATAACTTTGGGAATCACAAAATATTTCTATGAAAACAACATGCTATTCACCTTTTGGAAACACAGCATATCCTCAAACGTAAATTTCTCTCTAACTTGGGGGCCCACTGATTTTTTAGAGAAAAAACCACGCTTTCCAGCGGAATGAATCTGCTTCTGCATCGCTCTTAGAAAGCCCTCCACCTAAAAGAAACATACGAATATAGCAAGCTGAAATTTTCATAACCATTGAGAAAGAGAATATGAGCCGTATATGAAATGAGGTCATTCGCACATATTCGAAACAATCAACAAAAATTAGACTGAGAAGTAGCTTGTGCTATCACATGTGTAGATGAAAGAACCTTAATTGCACCTGGAATTTATCAATCAAAGGTATCGCACCAGCAAGTTCTGGTGGAACAGACTTTGACAGAGTCGACGGTGTACTGCAAAAAAAACATCAATCACAAGATCAACAATGCTGCAAGGCCAGATAAAATAGTTCTTTGGCTAAAAATTCTCAGTGAATTCATCAAAACCAAGTATACTGAAGCATCAACCATAAAACATGCTACAAGAGGAACGCAAGAAACTTACGGTGGTGCAAAATTGGAGTCATCACTGTCATAATCATCGCCATTTGTGGTAGCAAAGGAGTTGTGTGAAGGAGTGTCATATCCATTGCTAGAGCCAAAGGAAGACATGCTTATTCTCATACTCTGGGACATAGCTGGTGGTACATCAGATGTCATTACGTCTGAANATCATCGCCATTTGTGGTAGCAAAGGAGTTGTGTGAAGGAGTGTCATATCCATTGCTAGAGCCAAAGGAAGACATACTTATTCTCATACTCTGGGACATAGCTGGTGGTACATCAGATGTCATTACGTCTGAACCTAAAAAAAAAAAAGGCACTACAACCCAGATTTGTTCTGAATCACAAAAACAAAGGGTTTTCTCCTCAAGATGAGTTTATTTCATTAAAGAAAAAAGGAAGAGACTTCAATGTATCCCACCAACAAAGATCAGGCAGTCTATGGGGCGGCAGGCCAATATTTTATCTAATTTTCAACAAAATAAAGTAAATTAGACGGCAGTTTTGAAGGGGAAAATATAGTAATAAGCCGACTACTTTTATTATACCCGACAAATTAAACCATATCACCCCTTAAAAACTTACTGAAAGGAAAATACCAAGGATCGCTTGAATGTGCTAAGATCTCCAGTTCAAAGAAACTATACATACAGAGAGCTAAAAAAATAAAAATAAATTAACGCACGAGCGCGCTCGCACACAGAGAGACACACAACAAATGAGCATCTCAGGTAGAGAGAGCAACAAATGCTACAACAGTGAGACGGAAATCAGGAAGCGATAGAATCGAAATAGAGATCCACGAAAAAGAAGCATAGAAATTTCAGAAAAAATCAAAACTAGAAACAACAATGGTTGTAGATATCAAAATGTATATATTTATACATACATGAAATCGGAATGGAAATGGAAATGAGAAGAAAAAATGCAGAGGCATACCGTTTGGTTTCGAAGATTGGAGAAAAAAGTTTGTGTGGAAGAGAAGGTTGCAAGTTCTGATGCTCCCTTAGAAGTAAAGATCTCCAGTCGTCACTCGAGAGAGAGAGAGATGTGGAGAGGGGGGGGAGGGAGGAGGGGGGAGGGTCACGAGACTAGACATTTTAAAATAATTTAAGCTCTTTTCAGGTGAGAAAAAAAAAAAGACAAAAGGAAAATATTTAAATTCCTTTTTTATCCCCGATAATTTATGTAATTTCATTTGCTAATTTTCGGAGATTTACGAAATGGCCCTTTGTCTTGGATGAAAATATATATATAAACACTCGCTTTTCATTTTAGTTACAACCCCTCTTGTAGGATTGTAAATAAGATAAGTAGTGCCTCGTTCAATTTCGATTCAAATTTTTTTTACAAATTTTAAGTAGAGTTAGACTTCGAGTATATATGTAACTGGTCGAACCAATGAAAGCATAACATTTATTATAGTATAAAATACTTTTTGGTCATTGAATTGAACATAATACCTTAACATTTATATAATAAAGCATTTAGCAACTTGAATTTTTATCTCTTACATATTTTCTTTCTTAAAACATCACATCATCTATTTTTACCACATATTCAATCATTTATAGATCCCTCAAAATTGCAATCATTTAATTAGACAAGTCATGAATAATTCATTTTATAGTCCAGACATATCATAAACACCTCGGTGAAACTCCAATTCTTCCAAATGCCCTTCTTTTCTTAGCTCTTGATTGACTCTCGTATGTCCACTCACCCCTATTTTGTAGTCCCCTTTTCCTCCTCTTTCTTCTTCTTTTCTCTCTCGATCTTGCTCTTTCTGTGTATTTGTTTGTTTGTTTGTTTTATTCCCTAATCTTCCCCTTTCTGAAAACCCTAACCTTAACAAAATACCACACCGACCAAACGAAACGACTCAAAACCCTTTATTATTTGCATAAGTCAAAACTAGGTGAATTCAAATGGTGGCTTGAGAGAATTTTAATTATGTGCATTCAAGGCTATAGATTAGAGTTCGAGATGGGTTCAGAATTTTGTGAGTTGATGTGGTGATAGTACAAACGTGAGCGTTTTGGGATTCCAAAAAGAGAGAGAGAGATGGGTCAAATGAGGTCAAATGTGATCAAGAGTGATGGGTGAAGAAAAGAAAGAGGAGAAAAAGTGATAATTTAGGTGTTTATATTTTTCATATATCTTGATGGTACTCGGATTTTAGGGCCCAAGCTTGATTATGATGGGGTGATATTGTGAGAATGACTTCGCAGATTGTGGATTAATCTTTTATGAACAATTGTATAAGGAATGTAAATGGTTCACCTTAGCCGAAGGACTAAGGCTACGTCCACTATCAATGGAGTCTCTTGCTTGCTGGGATTATGTATTCATCTGCCAGCAAAGTGTCTCTAGTGACTTGGGACTTAGGGTCCACTTACAAAGAATGATTATTTTGGTATTCGCTCTCAGTTTTCTACGCTCTCTACCTCTCAAATGTTCTCCGATCTTTTTTTTGTGGGGGGAGATGTCGTTGTAATTCTCTTCTTATCGTTATCTATTTATACTAGCTTCTCTTAGAGCCTCCGGCTGTCTTTTCTTCTGACCCCCTCCTGCTTCTTCTGCCACCACGATCACTGTTCAACCGGCGTCCCTGTTCATCCGGCGCTACCGTTGCCATGAACTCTGGCGGCTTGGTGCTCCACCTTCTGGGATTGCTGCAAGTGTTAGGGGTGGTTCTCCAAGCCGCGTGGTCCCCTTTGCTCATCCAAACATAACTTGAATTGGGTTTTTACTCTCCGAATCGCCTTATGGTTTGGGTTGGACCTGGATTGCTGGGTTGTAGGCTTTTGCCGATGTCAGGTCCCGCTTTTTTGCTTCAGACCTCTTGGGTTGGTCAGGCGTCTGGGCAATCAAGGCCTGGCTTTGAGTTTTGTTCATATCAAATCTCATAAATTTTTTTTTCTTAATTTCCATTTTTTTATATTTATAGAAAGTATTCTATGTAAACTAAAGGTGAACCAAAAGGAATGGGGTAGATTGTAGATTGACCTCAATCATAGTGTTCAATTGTAATTTTTGCCTCCCAAAAGAATCATCCGAGTAATAATAAATGTGGTTGAAGTTACAAGATAGGCCAAATATATGCCAAAGATCCAATCTCCCTGCGCCATGTTCAGAGTATTGTCCCCAAGGATTAAGACACTGCACCTATAGAAGGGTTGTTCGGTGGGTACCAAACCACGTGGCTTCGAGTGATAGATCTATTTCCCAAGTCATTGATGAAATGGGAGGTAAATATCAAAGTGATATCTAATAATAATAAACCAGTTAAATTAGTGTCAAATATATTTGTTAATTTCAATTATTACGTAAGACAATGATTCATTTTGTTTTGACCGAACGTAGATGAAATAGATTTTTAATTTATAGAGGACATATGTGTAGTGTATTTGCTTTTAAGTTCATGGATTATGCGTATCTACACAAATACGATATAAATTCAAGATAATCTAAAATAATACAACTCGAATATGATACGAATGATTCCTAAAGAACCCCATGAGAGGAATTTAAGAAACACCTTACTGTTACACCTGCATAGTTTTTTAATTTCACATCTTCTCAGCTTAAAAGAAAAAAAAGGTTGGCTTGCTTTTGTATATTTTTTCAACCCTTTCACTTCTGCCCCCTACCGTTTCAACTACTGAAAGTTATCTCATACTCCTCCTTCGCCTAAAAAATATTGCTTTTTTTTTTGTGATAATAGTCGGCACGTAATAAGAAAATATTTTGTGCATTAGATTTTTTGTAATAAATGACGTTACGTACTCATAATTATTGGATATTTATTGAGAGTTAATAGAACTCATTAATCTAATAATTCACATCGATTTAATTAAAAAAAAATGGTGCACAAAGCATTAGTGCAGTGTAGAAACAAATTCCTTATGCAAGCTATTTCAATACGTTTGCGCATCTCATATTATTTTATAACAAAGATAGATTTAATAACTCTTAGGGATGGTTTAGTGATTAAGTTTGATATTTAGTAACCCATAAGTCTCAGATTCAATCTCTTCCCAGATTTAATAACTCTAATGCATGGTTTAATAGTTGAGTCCCCTTCGTTTAATCTCTATCCCAGCTCATGTCACGATATTTTAGATTTAGGACAAAGATAGCTTGATATGTGGTATTGAAATTGTGTTTGTATGCAAATTTGGGGTATACCGAGAAAGAAAATACTCCACCCACTGAAAAAAATAAAAAATGACATCGACGAAGACTTCTTAATTTCTTAGGTATAAATTTTTCTTGTAAACTCTTCAATAAATAGTGAAATTTCCCGTTTTTAACAAACAATAGTCATCTCTACCGAATGTACATCGGACTAGTGATTACCACACAAAGTCACGATATCAAGTAGTTTATACTTCTCTTACTATACTTTCATTCGGGACATCCAATAACATAATGTTACCAACGAAAAAATTGAGCTGCGTGTATTACCAATAAACTATGTTAAGTTTGAAGTAATTTATAATTCTCTAACTATAAGCATATTTGGGGTCCGGGGCCTCCTAAAATCTTTATATCCAAGCTATCATGATGAGTTATGAGTAATGATGATGTATGCAGCATGGTAGAGCAGAGATAAGAAATTGATGGGTACTGAATAATTCAGTTTGAACTTTTTAAGCTCTTGAGAAATAGATCAGGGAAATAGGATTAACACACAAAATTTATAGTAGTTTACCAGCTCGAGAGTTCGGCTAACNGAGCAGAGATAAGAAATTGATGGGCACCGAGTAATTCAGTTTGAACTTTTTAAGCTCTTGAGAAATAGATCAGGGAAATAGGATTAACNTACTGAATAATTCAGTTTGAACTTTTTAAGCTCTTGAGAAATAGATCAGGGAAATAGGATTAACACACAAAATTTATAGTAGTTTACCAGCTCGAGAGTTCGGCTNCAGAGTTCGGCTAATCCATTCTCATTGGAAATTCTTAATTACAGAGAGTATTGAATTATGTTATAATTACTTGTGTAACGTTTGAGAGGGTAANGAGAGTTCGGCTAACCCATTCTCATTGGAAATTCTTACTCCCAAGGAGTATATTGATAAAGGGGAATTACAGAGAGTATTGAATTATGTTATAATTACTTGTGTAACGTTTGAGAGGGTAATGCCTCATATTTATAGTTGGCGAAGGTCTTGCCTAATCTATGACGTGATTCCCGAAGATCTCTTATAATGGTTGCATCTATTGTGCAATGGCAATGGTGGATGCTAAGGTAGTTGTAACTTCTTTACTAGGATATGCGACTGGTACGATTTACATGACATTTTAGTGGAAGATAGTTGTCATTAATTGGTGCCACTGGTAGAGGTGCTGCTATTGGAGAAGGAATGCTGACCTCGAACTTCCTGGTCATCAAAAATGGGCTGAGTTCCCAGGCTGGAGATGTATGAGTTGATCATCCGAGCTCATCCTTGCATATTTTGATTATCATCAAGTAACAACTTTGTCAAAACCATCGGAAGGAACAAATGGTGGTGGCAGAAGCAAATCCACAACTTAATAGTAGTTCAAATGATAACAGGGATGAACTGTAAATTCAAACGTCTTAGATTTGAATCTTCGCAATATCTTATAGTTCAAGTGATAACAAGGATGAACTGTAAATTTAGATGTCTTAAGCTTAAATTTTTACAATCTCTTGAGGTCAGATCAGGAGAGATTTATCTCTTATAAATATTTTAGTTCTGGTGTGGATAATCTGCTTTTAACCTGATAAAAAAAATTAATTGAAATACGTATAAATTAACTTAAACATTTGTGACCATTGAAAAAACAAAAAAAAGTAAATCCACTAGTTGAATTGCCGGCCCTGCCGGCTTGGTTGAGGGGGGAAGGGGATAGTTATATTGTTTTAAATAAACTCACGGGAATGACCCTTGACCAGCGACCCAGTCTCAGCCTCTTTGCATTGGGACATTTACTTGTACAGTTGCATAAAGGCCATTAGAGTAGTCCACGAGAACAGCCAACAAAACTGATAGAGAGAGGGGCCTAAGGCTATGGTCCCC